GGGGGGCTGCAGCCACCTGAAAATTCACTGTAGCCCCCCAGCTTCCCCTCCCAGCGCCACCACCCACCCCAGTGCAGCATGGCCTGCTGGAAAGAGCCCAGCAAAGCCCTGGCCCCAGCATGCAGTGGCAGCCTGCCCTCACCTTGCGTGCGGATCCTGGGCACATGCCCCCCATGCCCTCCTGGGGTGCACACAGTGGCAGGAGCTGCCCCACTTCCCTTCCCCTGCACTGGGTGTCCCACGGATGAGCTGCTCGCAGCTCCCTCCCGCACCCCACCCTGGCTGTGCAGGGCCTGCTCCTGCCCCAGCCCTACTCCCTGCCTTACCGCTTGTGGGATGGGGGGCAGATTGAGGCCCTAGCAGTGAGGGAGGGAACAGGGCACAGGCAGGAGCAGGGGCTGGGGGATGTGGGGCTCTGCCTATGCTGGGTTGTGGGATAACCAGAGGCCCAGTGGGCATATGCCCCCCCAATTTGTGCACAGAGCAGAGGTGGGTGCCGCTGCGCTTTGCTCCCTGCTGCAGCTGCCCCACACCCCCTGCCTTCCCAGCAGCGGGACAGCATCGCACAGCTCTTGGGGCAGTGGGGCTTAAAGCCCAGTACACAGCCACAGCCACCTCTGCTCCATGCACTGATCAGGGGGCATGTGCCCCCGGGCCTCCACTTGTCCCACTCACCCCAGCCCCTGCTCCTGCCTGTGCCCTGCTCCCTCCCTCACTCACTGCTGGGGCTTCAATCTCCCCCCTGCCTGCCCTTTCCCCTCCCCCCATCCATTCCCCCACAGACTTACCATTTTGAACTGAAGTCCAACCCAGGATCTACCATGCTCAGCCCCCACAAATAATTTTTTTCTCCCTCCCTTGAACTGCCCCTGCCCCCCCTTCCTTCCCCACAGACTGACCTGCTGGAGTGGTCGCGCTCGATAGATCCTGGGTTGGACTTCAATTCAAAAGGTGATCTTGTACTTAAAAAGGTTGGAGACCACTGTCTTAAAAGTAGTCCAAACATGATGTCTGTAACCATAACTGAATGTCCTGGTTTTGTACTGCCTGATTTTGAGGATCGTAGAAATGTTACAACAATGTTTTACAATTTTAAATTAAAAATATACAGTGGATTGTAATTCTTCCTCAGTATATAGGGAGTATTCTGAAAACTTTGGTGAACACATAAGTACTGCTTTACAGTAGCAATAACCACATGCTGTAGAATGAAAAGGTTTAGGAAAGGATAAGAAAAACACTCAGAGGCTTGAGTTGAAATGTTTGAATGAAGAGATGTTGGAAAAGTTCGGTATTTTTCACTTTTGAGAGAAAATGAATAAAACTATGTATGTTTGTTTATAATGTACTAGTCAACAATCACATACATGAGCTTTTTAACTGAAGTATAGACTGCTTTACTACATTTCTTATCTGTTTACTATAAAAAACTTAAAGTAGAAACTTTTTTATTTTTTTGTTGCATGATGTAACAAAAGCAGACTTTCTGCAGACTTTCAGAGTGGGCTATAAACAGAGTTTCCTATTCCAAAATGGTAGAATTTACCTTTTCTACTTGTAGGTAGGTAAATTGAATGTCATACATCTTATTTCAGGATTTGTAGGAATTTGGAACCAAGGGCCTGTCTTTTCAGCATAGATACTAAAGTTCCTTTCTCATATAAATAGAAGCTTACCGCAGTATCGTGGCCAAAATGTTCCTGTCTTCCACCATTGTGAAGTCTCAACTTGTCAGTCATCATCTCAGGAGCTGTAGTTTATTAACACTGTGTACACAGCTGTGAAACTCCTGGAGATTAAAGATGCAAGAAAATATATGTTAGGTAGTGTCTATTATAATGTGAAATGCACACTTTAATGGAGAGAGAAGAGGTTGAAATTTACAAAAATGTAACATATTTATTTTGGTCTTCTCTTGCTTTATTTTAAGATTCCCCTTTTAGGGACGAAGATGAGAGTTCCGTGGATATTTATGATGGGTTGGACAATACTTCAGCTGTTCCTGGTAAGTTGACAGTCGAATGTGGTATAGCCCAGGAGGCTCCTTCCAGTTTTGGGTTTCTTTGTGTTCATTTGGGTGCATGTGATATTCTGTTATATGGGGTTGCTTGATGGCAGGGTAGATATTCTGTCTGACTTCAGACAAATATAGCTAGCTAACCTTTGATACTTGAGAGAGAGGTCTGTTATGCTGCTGCCTAGATCAGTTTTGAAACGTGTATTTAGTGTGTATTGTGACATAGTTGTGCTATATATAAAAAAGGTAAAATTTCTTGGACTTGTAAACAATACCACCAAAATAGATGTCTTTTAGCACTAGTCAGTTTTAACAGATTTGGTGCATGTGTGCTTTTCTTCAGATTCGTTTTATATGTGGGCGACTGGTGCCACCTTCATGGGGGGGCCTTCCTGCCCCCCAGCAACTGGGGGGGTCTCCCTGTGGCCAGTCGTGCCAACCGGGGGAGTCGGGGGGGTGCCCCCGCGGCCAATCATGTGGCAAAATGTACCAGCCAGTGAGTAGCCGCGCTGCTGAAAGCGGCTGCATTGCTTCCAGGAGTGGCCGCGGTGTACATCCAGCATTTGCACTCCCTGGCCAGCACTCGAAGAGGGGGCACCGGTGTTCCTGCCTGCCCATCGCCTGAGTGGGGAGCACGGCCTAACAGGGTGCACCGGTGCTGTCAGTGGGTGCACGTGCACTCCCTACGCGTCACCGCTGGTTTTATGGTTGATTAAAATCAGTCTGTAAAAGTGTGGGTTTGACAATTGATATGTACAGTTACAAGAGTATAAAAGTTCTCTAAGTGGTTGATTGTAAACAGTGACTTTAAAAAAAAGATGCACATAGAAGTAATTAATGCAGTGTGGACATCTTAGAAATCATTTATTTTTCAATATAGCATAGGTCTCAGGATTTTTTTGTTTAATTTCCTTTTTAATGTTCAAAAATCCTCATCAGAGCAATCCTACAGGCAAATAAAATGTCATTTGCCTGATTGTCTGTATCATATGACTTGTTACTCTCTTTGTTTGATGGTGGCATTAAATTACCTCACTCAAGGATTGTGGGGTATCATTGTGCGGGTGTTGTCCTTACAAATAACAAGGTAATCTCTACCCTGACAACTCCTGATCTAGGTGTTTGAATAGGAAGTGAAAAGTGAACAAAAGAAACAAGTTGAGGGAGTGTATTGAGGTCTACGCAATCTGTAATTCTGCATTTTAGTGCTTGTTCATGTAGCAAAATGCAGTGCTGTGCAGCTATACCCCAAGGTAACTGTGAACATGCTAACTTGTGTACCAGTGTCTTTACAAATATGTGGCTATGCCATGCAGATACCTGACTTACTTTCACACACGATAATCTTACTTTCACGCACAATAATTCCAAAACCCAAAACAGTATAGCTGCATTAGTTTACTTCTGTATCTGGACTATTAAACCTAGCTTCTCAGCAGAGCTGATTGGGCCAGGCACAATGCTGCTGTAAATGTGGCTTATGCTGCTTCCAGTTCTATAACGAACGCATGCAGAGTCAGCTCGGGTATCACTCTTTAGCTCTGCGTTTCACCATATGGATATAGCGTTAGCAGAACTGAAGCAAATGAGTCAAGACTTAGGAGGAATCCTGAAACAACACTACTGGAATATTTACCAGTTATGTTGTGATTTTTCTCTTGTTTTAAAAAGTTCACCACCCAACTCTGTAATCAAGCAGTTACCTTCTCCCTTTCTGACTGAGTGGGCACACTATCTCTATTTATAGGCGTGTACTTCCTAAATATCAGAGGCAGGGATTTCTTGGTTGCTGGGTCTCTGCCTCAGGAATTTTCTCCAGCTAGAAACAGTATAAAAACTGAAGCTGGTTACATGTTTTGTCAATTGCAAGATGAGCATCTTCTGACTTTCCATAAATTACTGAATCTGGATCTGGAAACTTCCAAAAAATTGCCTCTTTCTGTGCTTTTAATTATATTTACCTTTTGGTAAGAAGTATTTAATATTACAAAATCCTATAAATGCACCCAGATTTAGTTGGGGGTAGGTTTTTCTATAAGTCTGTAAACCAAAACATTAACCTTAACATTAGAACTAAATTTCCTTCCTTAACTTTTACCTCAGTGTTTTCAAATAAAACTAATATAGACATTGAAATTGAAGACCTAGAAGAATGTGAGTGATTGTGTTTAAATGTATGACATAAGACTTAAACTGCATCGGTGCTCTCAGTGGGTGCACGTGCACTCCCTACGTGGTACCGCTGGTTTTACTGTTAGATTCACCACTTAGATCACTTCTTCTTTTATATAAAGAGCATATCTTGTTTCAGATAATCCTATTCAACTGTCTTCACCAAACAAAAACTGTTTAAACTTGTTTGATGAGATCCTGATTGAAGAAGGAACTGCGAAGGAAGCATCTTATAATGATGTATGTATTGATTTGACTACTGTTAATTTTGAAAAGGGGAGAGGGGAAGGCAGGGAGAGTTGCATGCCCCGGAACTTGGAATGTCAAATTGTTATAAAATAGTGGCCAAACTACACTGAAAAGTATGAGAATTTTCAAGCAGACAGACGTACACTTTATCTTCATTGCTATGAGTATGTAAGGAAATTGGTCCCCTGCTTCAAATTTTAATACATTTTTCTGTTAATCTATGTAGTGCTGAGATGAGACTGTCCTTTAGCATTTTAGTTACTCTCCCAATTACATTATGAAGAAATTCTTTCACTGATTATGGAGGGAGAATCCTTCTATAATTGAGGTTATGATTAGCGTTTTGATATAAACCCAGTCTCAAAATTGTTTTTAGTTTTGCCAAACTTTAGACATTTAAGGTGGAGAACTTTGAAGTGTAGGAAGAGAAGAAAACTTGGGCAGTTGTGTATATAAACATAAATCCAATAATTTTTTTTACCTGATGATACTCTGGTGTTGGGAAGAAACTTATTAACTGCTCCTGTAAGTATGTAGACTTTTCACATATGAATCTTTTATCTGTTAACCCACATTTTTTTTTTGTATAATAATAGATTCACTATAAATTGACTTCTTTATTTTACAGTTGCAGGCAGAGTATGGAAAATGTCAAGAGCAGATTAAAGAGTTGATGAAGAAGTTTAAGGAAATACAGACACAGGTACTTTCTCAGGGGTATATTTGAGACTTGCTGATAAGAATTCAATTTTAACTAATTTGCAAACTTTGTTAAAATTTATCTTGGTCAATAACTTACATAGGAAATTACTCTAAATCTGTACTGTGTCACTTGTTACCCCATTGCCCCATGTTCTGGGCGCCGCACTTCAAGAGGGATGTGGACAGCATGGAGAGGGTCCAGAGGAGGGCCACTTGCATGATCAGGGGGCAGCAGGGCAGGCCCTACAAGGAATGGCTACGGGACCTGAACCTGTTCAGCCTCCACAAGAGAAGGTTGAGGGGGGATCTAGTGGCCTGTTACAAACTAGTCAGGGGGGACCAGCAGGCACTGGGGAAGTCCCTGTTCCCCCAAGCACTGCCAGGAGTGACTAGAAATAACGGTCACAAGCTGGCAGAGGGTAGAGTCAGACTAGACATCAGGAGGTGCTACTTCACTGTCAGGGCGGCTAGGATCTGGAACCAACTTCCAAGAGAAGTGGTGCTGGCTCCTACCCTGGGGGTCTTTAAGAGGAGGCTAGAT